TTTTTTTTTTTTTGGTTTGAATAGATCTTAATCTATTTTCCATATATAGATAATTAGATTTGAATTACTCATAAATATATTTAATATTTATTATTATTTTAGAAGCAAATTGTGTCTTAATATTAATTTCTATTTCTATTATAACCTTTAAATTGTTAATATATTTTAAAAGTTCATAACTACTGGGTTTATTATATATAAGACATCAAATTCATCATCTTTTGATGAGTTTAGATTTGAAATTCATATTGTGTTATGTATATATATTTCAAGTAAATAAACAATTATATTTATATTTACAATATAAGTTAAACTATTTATTACTAAATAATTTGATTTGTCGGTTCTGGGGTGTTTCTTTTCTGAATATTTGGTATTTGTGTCGTGACTTGAATAAATGTTTGTGTGGTGTTTTGTACTATTTATGTTGTAGGTTGAAAAAAACTCGTTTAGTTCTATTTGATGGTCTTATTATTCACTTGTGTCTGTTGGATGGTTATGAGTTTACGCTGTATTTTTTTCATTGTTATTTATTCTATTTTGCCTTGCACAAGAACTTGGATACATTGTATTTTTTTCATTGTTATTTATTCTATTTTGCCTTGCACAAGAACTTGGACTTCTGTTCTTACATGTTTGATCTATTGTTATGATCTTGTGTTATTACATGACTTCAAGACTTCCATATTAAAGGTGATTCTAAAGATGTTGAAGACTGGACAATAAAGGAAACTTATCCATTGTGAAGTTTTTGAAGACTCGAGACCAAAAGAAAATGATTACATATTCACAAGTCTTCGTTTTTTTTTTTTTTTTGTTTAATTAAATGATGGGAGTGAATATTATTGTACTTGATATTATGAGATTTCATACAACTCATTTTGCAGTGTATTTTAGACTTGGGGGCGTTTGGTTATTGACGTTTTAAGAAAAAATAGCTTTTTAACATTTCAGCTGATTTGACTTTCTCCAAACAGTCAAAATTTTGTTTGATAAATGGCTTTTGTAATTGGTTTTTTGGTGTTCAATTGCTAAAAATTGAAACGATACATCTTGCAGCGTTTTCAATTGACTTTTGAAGGGAACAAAACAAACTTGCCCTTAAATGCCTCGATTTTTCTTTCTTTTTTCTTTTTAAATCTTTTCTCATGAAAATTTAACAAAGCCACCCCTAAGATAAAAAAAATAAATAAATAAAAAGAGAAAGAAAGAAAAAACAAATAAATAAAAAGTTCATATTTACCCTTATTAACAATGGCTCCATTATTATTATTTTTTTTTTTTTTTTTTTTGAGAAATCTATTCTCGTCAAAATTGAAGAAAGCCACGTCCTAAGAAAAAAATAATGATGAATTCCATCTTTTTTTTTGGTACAAAGAAGGAGGCCAGAGGCCTAATAATTAGACAAGGATGCTTCGGGGATACGATACCCCGATAATATCATGCTGAAGCCATTCCCCTACACTAGTAGGCGACGACAAAAACACATGGAGACCAATCGGATAAGAGGACGCTAGGCCCGCTAGGTGGTCAGCCGCAAAATTCGCCTCGCGATGCACATGTCGAAGACTAATAGTCCAGTTCCGTTGGAGCATTTGAATAACGGCCGTGACTAAGGCACCGTTCACCCCAAAATTCCTGCCCGAGTCAAGAACCATTCGGATCACACATTGACTATCGATTTCCACAACCACTTGACGATACCTTCTGTCCCATGCAAGTTGAAGTCCCTGATAAAGGCCCCACAATTCCGCTCCAGTGGTAGTGCAATATCCAATATGCATGAGAAAACCCCCCGACCACATGCCCATCTCGTCTCGGATAAGGCCACCCGCACAGCTGAGCCCGGACTCCTTTTCAAAGGCCCCGTTTGTGTTAATTTTAACCCATCCGGGATCCGGAGGGGACCAACAGATCAACCGAGAATCAAAGCGATCCATTTCAGCTCCGATTTTCGTGAAACAGCGCGTCGAATGAGAATAGGATTTCAACCGATTAAGCACCTCAACTCGCCTCGCGTCGCACCCCACGATTTCGCCATTGAACACGCGATTATTTCGCCAAGCCCAAGCTCTCCATTGAACACGCGATGAATTCCATCTTTACCTCTATATCATGTGACAAATAAAAATGGTATTAATTTAGTATTTCAAAAAAAAATTGTTGAACAAGATACGAGTAGAACGGACGCCAACAAACATTGCCCGAACTAGAAGAAGTAAAAGTATGTTATTTGTTTGTCCCATTTTTGTTGCATTTTTCGTTGTCTTTTTGTCTTTCTTTTTCCCCCATATTGAGTCTTTTCTTTGGGTTTTATTCGTTTTTGTAGTTTATTGCGTGTTTTGATCTATTTCAGTTTTTTTCTTGTGTTTCTGTGTGTTTTTCCGTTTTTCTTTGTTTATGGTGTGTAGGTCTGAAGCTTCAAGAGGACATAATTTTGGGCAAAAGCTTATTGTGCAAGCATAATTAAATAGAGGAGTTCGTTGACAACACACAGGAAAAAGCGAATCGAATTCTGAGTCCAAACGAACCCGAACGAGCCCAAACAGTGAAATCGTGCAAAGCTGCCCAGGCCATAGCGCCGCTATGGCCCCAGATAGCGGCGTTACATAGCAAAGCGATGGGCAGAGGCTCGAGCATTTCATCCCAAAGCGCCGCTATGGTCGTAGCGGCGCTATGACCCCCTGCAAGTCCCAGAATAGTATAAAAAGCCCAAAAACTCGTTTTTTCTCCATTCTTTTCACTTCCAGCTTGAAGGGGGAGGAACCCTAGGCCCAAAATCTCCTCCCCCCTTCACTTCCCTTCATATTCTTCTTCTCTTCTCTTTTCTTTTCTCCATTTTTCTTCTTCTTTTCATTATTATCAAGGGTTTAGCTTGTATTTTGAATTCAACTGGAACTTGGATTGATTGTAAGTATTCATTTCTCTTATTTGATTCATGAATAATGATTATTTGAGAGGATTGATCATGATTGTTGAATTTAATATTCGTAGCTAAATCCGATTGCTAGGGATAGGGGGTGATTGTTTTGTTTGAATTGTACTTGTTGGGCTTCGATTCGTTCATACTTATGTGAGTTGTTTTAATTAGGAATTGATATATTCTTGCTTGATTGATTGATATAATCGAAGAGTGACACTTCGATCTTGCAATTGGTAACAATTGAATGTTGATTAGTTGAGTTAGGGTTTTGTTGATTATGTGTGATTAGTCGGTTAATACCTTTCTAATTGAATTAGCGACCTTTTGAACCGAAAGGGGAGAAGTCGTAGACTTAGGCTCACATGAGGTAGAAGATGTCGTAATTGACTAATCTACGTGTTTTAGATTGAAATACGCACTTGTCAATGACCCGTCTCTTGTTACGAAAAGTTATTGGGATTGGGATAATTGGCTTGTGTCGTATGCTCGAACTTGTTTGTCCATATTCAATCCCTTGTTACGAAGAGTTATTGGGAGCGAACCGCTAGATGTCTAAGCGAGAGTGTCAATCTTGAACCGAACAATTGATTGCCCGGTTTTGCTAAAACTTGAATTAATTATCCCCGATTCCCTAGCTTCTTTTTCATTGTTTCGTTTATCTTCTTAGGTAGGTTATTGCTTTTTATTATTTCTTAGTTGATAATTATTCATCCATCCTTATTCGATTAGATTGTTTAGGTTTGTTTTCTTTTATGTGTTATCGATATCAGAACTAAATTCCGAACAGCATTCCTCGTGAGATCGACCTGGGGAACGAATTTTTAGATTCGGTACTCGGTAAAAAGAATAATTTGTACACAACATTATTTTTTGTTAAAATAAAACTGAGAATGAAATGAAAATCTTGATAAACAATGGTCCATTGAAATCCTTTGTTAAGTGAATAGCTCTGTCAACTGGTTTTCTTCGTCTTTAGAAGAAAGTGCGTAGCTACAGACGTAAGGATTGCTACTTCTTGGGTTAACTTCTCTCTGCTCGTCTCGGACCAACAAATCACCTTAGTGATTATCTTGACAATAACATTAGACCCACTTTTGCAAAGGATAGGGTCTTTGAAGTGGTAACAAATTGGATTCCCTCGTGGAATTTATTTTCGTATTTGATTTTTTTTAGTTCAAATATAATGTATAAGAACGAATTGGATGTATTGTCGAAAAAAATAGTAAAACTGCTATTTTGAAAGTACAAAGAACGCCAATAAACATTGTGGATCAAGATAGAATAAAAGTATGTTATTTTTGTTAAAATAAACTGAAAAAAAAATCAATTGTATAAGAACAGGTTAGATGCGTTGTAGGAACAAAAAAACAAGTAAACCAAACTATTTTGGATGTAGAACGAACGCTTGAACAAGATAGAAGTAAAATCATATTACTTATGTTAAAATAAAACTGAAATTTATTCAGATCCGAAAAAAATAAAATCAATTGTAGGGTATATGAACGAGTTAGATGTGTTGTCGAAAAAAAAAAGTGAAATTGACCTATTTTGAGAGTATAACGAACATCAATAAAAATTACTCGAACAAGATATAAGTAAAAATATATTAGTTCTGTTAAAATAAAACTGAAATTAATTTAGTATGCAAATTTTTGTTGTTTCAATGGTATGGTGTAAGAACGAGTTAGATGTATTGTCCAAAAAAAAGGAAACATAATTTTTTGAAAAGTAGATATTTGTGTTTTACTTTATAAATATCTACATAAAAATATTTTCAAATATGTTGATGTCCTTATAAGTAATTTTACATGTTAGCAGCTGAGTAAAGATAGTTAATTTTACCAAACACTCTTTTACAAACCGCCAACATAATTAGCTGGTCAAAACAGTTAACGCAATCCGTTGGTCAAAACAGTTAATGCAGTCCGCTAAAAGCTAACAGTTAACGGCTGATTACCAAACAAGGCCTTAGTCGAACTTTCAATTCATATTCTTATGGGATGAAAGGATTGCATCTTCGTCTTTTCTGTTTTACTCACGGCACTTGGGAGAAGTGTTCATGTGCCTTTGGAGGGATCTATTATAGGTTTTTAAGCAGTGTTTTAGAAGTCGTTAGGCGCCCACTAGGCGCTCGACCAACGCCTAGCGCCTAGAATGCTCAGTCGGGGCCTAGAAATCAATATTAAACAACCTATTTTTTTTTATTTTAACTACCTACAAAATAAAACTATCTCAACTTATAATAAATCCAAACACCCAAGTCCAAATAATAATATTAATATATTATAAAGAAAACATGCGAACGAAATAATGTAATTAGTATTTAAAAAAACTGAAAAATTGCCACCGAGCCCGCCTATGTGCCGCCTAACCACCTGGTCGCTGAGCCCCCCAAGTCCGCATAGGAGCGCCTAAGGCCGCCTAGGCGCCGACTAGCCGTCTGGCCAATTTTTCAGCCGATTTGTGCAAACTGGAGCGGCCGGGCACTGCCTAGCGCCTAGGCGGCTACCTAGACCAATTTTTAGAATAATGTTTTTAAGTCCACATAGTGACAAAATAACTATGAAAATAGAGTGTAAGATACTATGATTATGAGAGAGTTTTAATCTTGTAAAGTTGTACTACATAACGTGGGTGCAACCCGTTTATTTGTGAAAGATTTCTTAGGAAATCGTGATGTTTTTTTTTAAAAAAAAATATTTATTTGATTCCACACGTGTTGTACTTTTGTAACATAAAAATCGCACTCGTGTACTCACCCTCACACTTCAATTATTATTATTACATGCATCGCACGAGCTACGTTCTAATTGGATAAACCAATTTATATTACCATAAAAAATATTTTATAATTAAATCACGATCATATCTCATACATAAAATGCATAATAAAAGCCATTTTATATTTGAAGCACGATCATGCATTTTATAGTTAAATCACGATCACATCTCTCACATAAAATGCATAATAAAAGTCAGTTTATACTTGAATCACGATCAAAATAACTCTCAAAAGTGTATGAATTCATCGTTGTAATGACCTTTCCCAAGGTTCGACATCTAGACTTTACAATATAATTGATTTGATTCTTATGGTCCCTTCTTATGCCCTTGTGCCTTGCAAATCATTGTCCAACACGTGTATTAACTCCTATATATTCTTAATGTATTTTATTCTATTTTATATTAGTGTTTTATATTTTAGCTTTATTCCTTATAAAGTTGCTACTTATAAATAGCAACTATAAGCATATGTACTCTAGTATATATATGGTCTCATGTACACAGAAATCCTACTTTTATTTTCCGCAGTTCATCGTTCAATACAAGCTTTCATTTCATCGTTCATTCTCGATCTCTTATTCTATGCGCATCTTTAATTCAAAGATCTGATATAGGAGTTAAAGATCTTTAATTCAAAAATTTTATAACATGGTCACAACTCAGTTTCATAAAAAGATCAAAGTTCTCAGATCTGATAATGGCACAGAATTTTTCATGCATGATTTTTATCATTCTCATGGCATCATTCATCAAAAGAGTTGTGTTGAAACTCCATAACAGAATGCTCGAGTTGAAAGACATCAACACTTATTACAAGTTGCTAGAGCATTACTCTTTCATGCATCATTGCCTTTATCCTTTTGGACAGAGTGTCTTGGCTGTTGCCCATATCATCAATAGAATACCCACAAAAGTTTTGCAAAACAAATCTTCCTTTGAAATTTTGTACAATAAACAACCAACTTTTGACCATCTCAAAGTTATAGGTTGTCTTTTTTATGCATAAACTCTCACTTATAAGGGATATAAACTCTATAACTTGGAAACCAAGAGTACATTAATTTCCAGAAATGTTCAGTTTTATGAAACCTGTTTTCATTTTGCCAACAAATCCTCAGATTCCCCATCACAGTTGTTTCCCCAACCAACAAACTTTTCATACTCAGACACTTCGTTTTCTCAACTCTCACCTCCTGTTTACTCTCATAATCCATCTCCTGTTCACTCTCAGAACACATCTCCTATTCACTCTCAGCATCCATCTCCTCACCCATCTCAGAATACATCTCCTCAACAATCACCCCAACACCTTTCTCCTGTCTTACAATCCACTCACAACCAGACAACTACTCAATTACAACCAGTTGTTCGAAATCAAACAACTTCTCCAAGAATATCAACCAGACCTCATAAACTTCCTGCTTATTTGGATATCTATAAACACTCACTCAAACCTTCTTCTAACTGTGCCCTATCTAAACACATAATTTCTGGAACAACCTCATATCCAATTTCTGATTACTTGTCTACAAAGCATCTATCTTCATCTTATTCTTGTTATACTGCTGCCATATCACAAGTCACTGAACCTACATCATATACACAGGCTGCCAAGGATCCCCTTTGGCAGGCTGCCATGAGAAAAGAACTCGATGCATTAGAACAAACAAACACTTCGGTTTTAACAGATTTACCAAGTGACAAACATTGTATAGGTTGCAAATGGGTTTATAAAGTTAAAAATGTGATGGCACTATAGAGAGGTATAAAGCTAGATTGGTAGCCAAAGGCTACACACAGGAAGAGGGTATTGATTATTTTGATACCCTCTCTCCTGTGGAAAAAATTACTACAGTCAGATTCTTAGTTGCTTTATTTTCTATCATGAAATGGCATGTTCACCAACTTGATGTAAACAATGCATTTTTACATGGTGATTTAAATGATGATGTATTCATGAAACCCCCACCTGGTTATTGTCGGAAAGGTGATAAGAGAGTATGCAAATTATTGAAAAGCCTTTAGGCCTCAAACAGGCCTCAAGGTAGTGGTTTCACAAACTAACTACTTGTCTGCTTTCTTATGGTTTTCACCAATCTATTTCAGATTGCTCTCTTTTGATTTTATCTGAAAATGGTAATTTCATGGCCCTACTTGTTTATATGGATGATATAATCATATCTGGCAACAATTTATCCCAAATCAATGCTATAAAGTCTCATCTTGATAAATGTTTTACTATTAAATATTTATATATCCTAGGCATTGAGTTTGCCCACTCTGATAAGGGCATTCAAATGTGCCAAAGAAAATATGCTTTGGACATCCTCAAGGATACTGGTTTTTTGGGTTGTAAGCCTGCTACAACCCCAATGGATGTTACTTTGAAACTTAGTTCCATTTCAGATAATAGTGATAAAATTGATGCCTCTGAATATAGAAGGCTGGTGGGCAGGCTTTTGTACCTGACCATAACCAGACCTGATATATTATATAGTGTTCAGTTACTTAGTCAGTTTATGGCTAACCCATCCAAAGCTCATCTTTATGTTGCCCATAGAGTCCTCATATACATCAAATGTACAGTTGGTAAAGGTTTGTTTTACTCTAACTCTTCTAGTTTAACTTTAAGTGTATATAGTGATAGTGACTGGGGGGTTGTCCTGATACAAGAAAGAGTTTAACTGGTTATGCTGTTTTTCTTGGGGATTCACTTATTTCATGGAAATCTAAGAAACATCAACTATTAGTAGATCTTCAGCTGAAGCTGAATATAGGGCACTTGCATCTTCATCTTGTGAAGTTCAATGGATCTTATATTTATTTCATGAACGACACTTGATCCACCCCTCCCTAGTTTCTGTTTTTTGTGACAGCAAATCAGCTATTGCCATAGCCTCCAATCCTGTCTTCCACGAAAGGACTAAACACATCCAATTGGACTGCCATCTAATAAGGGAGAAAATCAGCTCCAAGATCATTCAGTTGCACTACATTTCTACCAAAGAGCAGATTGCAGTCAATAGACCAAGCTCCTTCCTGGACCTGCTTTTTCCTTTTTAGATTCCAAGCTTAACATGTGTAATATTCATGTTTAGCTTGCGGGGGATATTAACTCCTATATATTCTTAATGTATTTTATTCTATTTTATATTAGTGTTTTATATTTTAGCTTTATTCCTTGTAAAGTTTCTACTTATAAATAGCAACTATAGGCATATGTACTCTAGTATATATATGGTCTCTTGTACACAGAAACCCTACTTTTACTTTCCGCAGTTCATCGTTCAATACAAGCTTTCCTTTCATCATTCATTCTTGATCTCTTTAATTCAAAGATCTGATAAGGTGCAAATCTGATTATTTGATCGAACATAATGCATCATACTTCTATTCTGGTACATTTTATTAAATTATTTGTTGGTTGCATTTAAGAATCAAGCAACTTTGCCTTACAGTAATCCTGTAGTAGACATTAGTTCCAGCATTCCACCTATTTCTAATAAATGATTCTCTCTCTCTCTCTCTCTCTCTCTCTCTCTCTAGGCTGATTGTGAAAATCCAGCGTACTGAGTGTAGTGCAAGTAAGCCTCTTCAGTAGCCTGCATCCCGATTGGGGCACGCGTCACGTAATCCGGAAGATCGAATGCGTCCACAAGTTCCTTTGCGATGTTCTTCACTTGGAAGCTCAGGTATTCGGTCAGCTTGTGTATCGCCTGAAAGATACAACAACGGCATTAGTAAGTTGTGTACAAGTCATTCCTCACAAGTCATTCGTCACAACAGATGAAGGTATGAGCAAGAAAAAGAAGGTAAATCCAAATATATCTCGAGGAAGAATGACTACAAGTCAGTTGAGGAAAAATCTCTCTGCATGAAATGAAATCAAACCAACAGTGGAATCGGGATTCAAAAGTAAGGCAACAAGCAACACTGGATTTCACGATAACCAAAAACTTGAAATATTTTTTCAATTTATAGTTTTACGCTGATGCTACTATCTCACTCATTATATGAGAGCATCTATCTACCTTAGCTTTGTTTGGAGCAACATAGTCAACATTTCGGTAAGTCCCAATATCATTCCAAATACGGTCCAAGGCGTACAAGTCGCAAACAAGTTTCAAAGCAGCCCGAGAACCTGGATCAGGACAGCTGGAACAGAAGATAGAAGTCAAAATTCGGCTACTAATTCCAAGGTGTAAATATAGAACAGAAAAAGTCGAGTAGGAATTTACCTTCGCACAGCATCAACAAATTTTGCTAGAATAACAGATTCTACATGGGACTCAGCAAGTGTCAAGAGATGATTGAGACACCGATTCCAAGCGCCAAAACCCCCAAGACTTTTTGTATGCTTCCGCAGTCGAACGGCCACACTATGGAGTAACCGGGAAGTACGATACTGTAAAAGAAAACCAAAATAAAAACCCTCCCTTGTTTAACTTTGTTTCTTTAATAGCACAAAAAGAAAAGGGTCTTTAACTTAATTTCTACAAACAGAAAATGGTCTTTCGAATAGAGTTGCATGATAATAGTAGTTACCCTGAAGGCGTCCAACTGAAATTTGGGATCACGTAGGTGCTCTGTACCTTCCCATCTGGAAGTGACTGGGTTGGGCTGCGACAGGTACGAACTCATGGAGTCCCTCAAGTAATTCCAAGTGACAGTAAGAGTGCCACCTTGGAACTTCTCTTGGTACTGCTTCAAGAGATAACCTGCTACCTACATTCAGGGATGATATTTTATTTTATTTGTTGCGCCCAAGGCAGCAAATATGACTATAAAAATACTAACAATATAGTTTTTCAGTCTCTTTAAATCGGTTATTTCAATTTAAGGCTATATAAGCATCACTAATAACCAATAAGTCGGTTTAAATAGTTTAATTGACAACCTCCAAGGTGAAGCCTAATTTCAAAAGATATTAGCTACCTTTCAAAAATATACGAACATTTAAACGTAGTACAAGCCCCCTTGAGCATTGTATTTCTAAACGTAAAAGGACCTGCCTCCTCTTGAAGCCTATTTTCAAAGTGGAACTAAAGTAAAAAACAAAAAGGTACTTGCACTCTTCTTAAGTACAAGTCAAGCCAGATCAGTATCATAAAATCCAACCACTAGGATATGAAAGATAAAATAAGTAAGAAACTAACAAGTTCACCAAATAAATGACAGGCAGAATCAAAATAGCACATTTTTTCCCCTTTTTTTTGGTCAAAATAAAAAAGACGTACCTGCTGCAGGAGGACAGTGTTGTCCCCTTCGAAAGTCTGAAAGATATCGTGATCGTTCCTCAAGCTCCCGAACCTATTAACAGCCGCATACCCGTGGCCCCCGCACGCCTCCCTGCATACGCTCAGCGACCTTGCCGTGTATGACGTGATGTACGCCTTGAGACCTGCCGAGAGAGCATGCACGTCCCCCACCAGCTGCTCATCGTGCGTCCTTTTCATCTCCGAGTATATGTCCACCAAATGTAAAGTCGCGAAATGAAAAGCATAAGTCGAGGCGAGCATCGGCATCAGCTTATGCTGCTGCGACTGGTAGTCAAGTATGCTGATCTCGGGCTGCTTCGGTGGCCCGAACTGCTGGCGGAGAAGGGAGTACCTGACGGCTATTACCACGGCAATCTTCAGAACCCCGACCGACGAGTATGCAAGGCCGACCCGCCCGCCCACAAGTTCACCCAGGGTGGCGGCGAACCTCTTGTTGATGGACGGTAGGCTGCTCGTGTACTGTCCGTCTCGCGAGACATCGCCAAACCGGTTGAGGAGGTTTTCGCGTGGGACCCGCACGGACTTGAAGCGGAGTGCCCCATTGTCGACCCCGTTGAGGCCGACCTTGTGGCCACAGTCGTGGATCTCGACACCAGGTAGGGTTTTGTGGGTTTTGAGGTCACGGATGGGGACGATGAATGCGTGGACTCCCATGTCAGATGATCCTCGGGAGTCGTGGGTGGGGAGGATCAGTTTGGCAAAGACCGTCGCGAATTTGCCGTGGACAGCGGCATTGCCGATCCACCACTTGATGGCGCCGTCCTCCGGCGTGTCGATCACGAATTCATCCTTGATCGGGTCGAAGGTCGCGGTCGTCTGGAGCCCCTGGACATTCGAACCTATTCCAGAAAAGTAAAAAACCCAAATCATTGAGAAAAATGGTGTTCTTATATGTACCTGTAACACTAAATGCTAAAATGGACCGTATAATTTACTCAACTGCTCCTTTTACTTTTTGCAACAGAACAAATTACCATGAGTGCCTAGTGAACAATCAATTTTTTGACCAGACAAATATTATTCTGCTAAGTTAAGCGCAGTGAAACAACAAAAAACAAAATAAGAATTTGGATACTAGGAAGAAGGCGAAACTACCATGATGAAGTTCGGTCATTGCAAAGCATCCTGGATACTCCATATTGTCTATACCGTCAAAGTACTTGTCTTTGTGCTTTTTTGTTCCCAAGTTGAGCACGGAGCCTCCCCAAAGACTGAGAATATAAGCCAGACCAATTCAGGAAGAAGGTGAAACAAGGACACATACAAGTAAAGCTAGCAGTCGTTCAAGTACAGATAGAAATGTCGCAAGCATGAGGTAATGCAGGAAATCGTGAGTACGTCCAATACATCAATCACCATTAGTGTTCAAGAACGAGAAGACACAGAAAGCTTGGTTCTATGGTGAGCTCACATTCGATCCAAAAAGAATAATCTCAATTCTCACTCCAACTCAAAATCATCACCTAAGCTGCCAACAAGAAGCTCTTACAAAGGTAAATTTCTTTAACAATTTCACTTCGACTCAAAATCATCACCTAAGCTGCCAACAAGAACCTCTTACAAAGGATAAATTTCTTCAATAAATTACCAATTTCACTTTGACTAATAGTACTAGCTGCGCTATCACCATATCTGATACTGCAATTGCAAAATTCCACTACAGCACTATACAAATACATCAATAACTTATCACAAACACAATCACATTTATAAGCTCTGCATACTGTCGATGTTCAACAAACGCACATCTATGCATATCCATTATTCGGTTCAAGCGAACCAAACATCAAAGCGATATGTAAATATAGCAACAAAAATAAGCTTTCAAAAAGCAACTCGAGTTCGAAAAAATTTATCACCTGTACTGGACCCCCATCTTAATCCCCAGAGACATATCGACGCTCCCCACCGCCTCGAGAATCGCGAAATACTTGGCCGGATCCTCCACCACGTACCTGAACGGCCTGATCCCGGCCTCCCTCACCAGCCCCATCAGCTGCCGCATACAGAGCTCCCGGTGGTCGTCCTTAGATATCTCCAGCGGCGTCCGGAGCTCCGGCCTCGAATTGAAGTAATCGTAGACCCTCTGCTGCATGTCCCTGTACTTCCCCCTCATGTAACTGGACAATTTCTCCGTGTCCACGTCGATTTTGGCACGGGCCGCGCAGGGCTCCCTCCCCACCGCCGCGTCGGGGATTCCCGGCGGCAGCCTGAGATGAAGGGAGAGGCGCTGGACGCGGCGAGCGACGATCTCCCGCTGGCGGTCGGAGGAGTGATCGGTTTCCACCGCCGGATTGGCGGCGTCCGCTGCCTGAGTATCCATTATCTCAGATGGATATGTGCGTGAAAGTTGTTTGCTGGCGTCTATATTTAATCAGGAGATAGCGGCGAGTAACTTATTGAAGGTTGGTTTAATTATAAGAAACGGAAGGATGACGTGGCGTGTGGTGAGAGCAACATGTGGGGCCAGTTGACTGGATAATATAATTTATTTTTGGGCACGGCTCTCTATGTTAGGGATTGGTGAGGAAGTCATAGGTGGAGAGATGGTGAATTGTTATTTAAAAAATAGGAAGATGCTAAAGTCCCGTTACAGAACTATTCAGTTTGAGGTTTGTAGTCGTTAAATCAACTATCCTCGATGGTTACATTATGATCTAACGGTTACAAACTCCAACGAAATAATTCCGTAACGAACCGTAACATTACCTTAAAAAATGAGTACATAATGAATATCTATAGAGTATAACACTCACATGGGCTGATGAGGTCTACTTAATTTTTCATTTTTAATCGGTCACATATGTACTTATAGTATTTCTCGTAAATTAAATAAATATTTAAGCTGAAAGCCGAAAGGTTGTCATTCTTTTTATAGGAACTTCCTTCAAGGTTTACAAGTATTCTCGAAGCCATAATCTAACAAACTATTTCTATAGATCCGATTAAGTCAATTTTTGGTTAAAATGAATAAAAATTCATGTCGATGGACATGAGATTGATAAATGATTTAACAATATTATGATTAGAATCAACATTATAATAAAATTATATGATAAAGTTGTATTTTTCTTTATCTTTATATATATATAATGACAATTATCCAAATAGTAACTAATCTATATGATCAACTTATTAATATTTATAGTTGTGTTTTAAAATTTGAATGAAGGTAATTAGTACAATGGCCAAAATTATACTTGATAAATGTAATTAGAAAAATTATGATCATATATTTTTTTGTACAAATAACTTGCATTAACGTCATTGAGATTGATAAATACATTAGTTTCGTATTTAGACATTTCATTTTTTTACATGAGACCTATTGTCATGTTAACATATTATCTTTATATGTCAAACTCATATGTTATTCTATTTACATTCAAATTAGCATAGGGATGCAAACGAGCCGAGCCGAGTCGAGCATTGACCTTATCGAGCAGAATTGAAATTTTTATTTAGCTGCTCGAGCTCGTCGAGCTCGATTTATGAGGCTCGAGCTCTACTCGAATTCAAAATGCTCGAGCTCGACTCGAGTTCAGTTCGAATTTTTTCAAGCAATTTTGTTTAGTAATTTAATATATCTTGAGCCGCTCGCGAGCCGCTCGACAATGTAAAATATAGGCTCGAGTTCGTGCTCGAGCCGCTCGAGCTCGACTTGAGTTCTGTCAAACTCGAGCTCGAGCCGAGCTTTGACTCGAGCGCTCGCAAGCGGCTCGCGAGTTGCTCGTCTCGTTTGCAGTCATACGCGTTACTAACTCATTTTATTCTTCTTTTAATTCCATTCCTTCATTGACATTTAATAAACTAATTATTTTCATTACTACAAAATTAGTCAACCAAAAAATTAATCACCACATGCATCGCACGAGCACTTGACTCGTATAAAATAAAAATTCTTCTTTGAATTTTTTCTTCAGAAGGTCATGTTTATGATAATTGTGTCAAAGATTACAACAGAAATGTAAATTAGCCAACATATTTATGTAGCTGTTCTAGGATACAGTCATACACTAGAGTTTGCTAGTAGGAACCCCATCCGGTGCTGCGCGAGATCGTTTTTCAACGGCTCGAGAAAACTGTCTCACTGCATCTTTCGGCAGATTACGAGGTTTGGCCAGCCACATTCCTCCATCAATTGCCAACACACTTCCATTTATATATTTACCTTCACATTTAACCAAAAAAAAAAAAAAAAATGCCAAATAAAATAATCAAGTTTACTGGAATTGACAAGAAAACTATATTAGGAGGAGCCATAAAACACAAAATCGCACGAAAGATCCACAAATAGATCAAATGCCAAAAAACATGAATGTAATATGCAATCCCAGCAAAGAAAGCATAAATATTTGATAATGCTCGTGTTACCATTGAACTAAAGAAATTAAATATGAACTATGTGGTATGCTTTAGTTAGCAAGAATGAAGTTAAAACATGAGGAGATGACTGACCAGTATTGGATGCAAGGTAGATAGCAGCCATGGCAACATCCCATTTCTCACCAACTCTGTACATATATGAAGGGTCTCTCGATCCATAACCATTAGAGGCAATCTCTTTTGGCACAAGCTTGCTCAATCCAGCAGTATCTCCTATGGGACCAGGTGCTATTCCGTTCACCCTTATATCATAATCTGTTCCCCATTCCAGGGCCAAGTTTCTCGTTAGGGCATCAATCGCTGCCTGTCACAGTCACACACACACACACACACACACACACACACAAAAAAAAAAAATCACATTTTATTCATCACAAGCAAAATCCAAAAGGAAATCGAATTTTATTCATTGCAAGCAACTAAATGGCAAACCTTTGCTGCAGATACATGGAGTTGATACCAGGATGCTGTGTAATGCAAAGTGGCACTGATATTCAGTATAAGTCCTCCAGCAGTTGAGTTTCTTCCCGGTGCACCTTTCTTAAGATACTTGAGAGCTTCATGGCACATTGTAAATGTGCCAACAGCATCGATATCCATAACTGAACAAACAGATTACAATGTCGCACAAATAAATTCATGTCTAGCTAAAAGTGTATAAATATAGAATAGTTAATGTCTCTCTTTAAAGGGTGTTCTCATCTCCGTCCACTTGAGCATTCAGAGGACCATAAGTCGTAACTTTTTTCTTACGGTTAAATATAATAAGAAAGACCACCATTGACATTTAAGCCGCTGACAGAATCCAGTTTTATCATTCCAATTTCACATAACCCCTTTAGGCGGTATGAAAATGTTTCATTTTCTTAACAAATCTCATGCTCTTTATGCAAAAGCAGATGACATGAAGAAGAAGTTGTAATTCTTGTAGCTGGTGTCTTTTGAAATTAGAACAAACCTCTTTTTTTTTTTTTCCTTCTTTCTATTTTGTATTGACTTATTATGAAAATTAATGCTCACTAGGACATACCAGTTTTTAATGTGAAAAATTAAAATTATATAACCATTCTTGGAAAACCAAGCAGGATTATTTGATGAAATCCTATCACAAACTGGCCATGAAATCTCAGAATACATAATATTAAACTCAAGATTCAAGAACTTACAATTAAAATCTAATTATAGCATAGATAAAACTGAAAAGAAAGAAGACAAAAACAAGTCTTTTATTTAAAGTGACACCTGTTTTAAATCCATTGGGCGACAAATCCTCAGCCGATACAAGAAAATTGCCAGCAGCACCATTCACAAGAATGTCGAGCTTCCCGAAATGCTTCACTGTTGCCTCCACAACTCTTTGGGCATCTTCCTGCTTGCGAACATCTCCTTCAAACCCAACTGCCTAAAGAGATGAGCATAGAAGCAAAAAAAAGGTATAAGAAGACGCGATAAAGTAAATAACTGTAGAAAGTCAAGTGGTAAGATCGAATTGTGTAAAACATTCCCTGGCGAGCGACGTTCAAATTTGACATTCCAGTACAGAACACATGATATAATTCCATTTAGAGGTTAAACAATATAGCATCCATGTATCCTTTTTAAGTTTACGAACGAAGGGAAAATAGTGTGCTGGTTGGTTCAAGAGTGAATGCCATGAACCATAGCTCTAAGGTGTGAAGGCAATAATTCAGAGGGCAAACTACATTCAACTCTTACATTGATAAATTGTTGAAAAAAATAAAAGCTCTGACCAATTTTAGCAATCATCAACATCAAGGTAACCTTGTTGAGAGAAATTGAGAATAAAAGCAACAAATAGACAACCAAACAATCAATTTTGCAGCCAGAAATACTGTTTGCCATAAGGATCTAATTAAGCTGAACCAGAAACAGGATAATCAAGCTACTTAACAAAGGAGTTAATTTAATTATGGAAGAGGTAAAAAGGGAAGGAAGAGTGATACTTGGATGCCGACGGATCTGAGGGCCGAAACGGCGTCGTCTAGGACGGGCTTGCGGCGGCCCATTATGGCGACGGAGGCTCCATGCTTTCCGAACTGGGTGGAGATCTCGAAGCCGATGCCCGATCCGCCTCCGGTGATGAGGGCTACTTGGCCTTTGAGTACATCAGCCTTGAATGGGGACTCCATTTTCGTCTTCTCCGATTGTATCGTCTTGATTCAGTGAGAATATATATATATATATAACAATTAAAAAGAGTAAGGTCTACTGCTCAAATGGTAACTAGTTTGATATCGCTTAAGGAATGTCTCGGGTTCCAGTCTTGTGATGCAGAAAACTCTTGTTGGAAACTCACCCACCACTGCCACGTGTACGACTCGGGTCGAACCAACGAATTAGTCGCTACCACTGCCACGTGTGCGACTCGGGTCGATCAACGGATTAATCGGAACCTAACTCTGGTTACCATGATTGACTAAAAAAAAAAAAAAAGAGTAAGGTTTGTGAATTTCAGGGCAACTGAAGTTAGCTGAAGTTGAGCTATAGTATAGGCATTAAGCAGGCTGCTTTCGGACTCTGTTTTGGCTGTAGGCCTGTAGCCCTCTACCGAATCAACAAATAATTATATGGGTATCTCAAGGCCACGACTACAGCTGTCAAAATAGGCGGACGGATGGCCGGCCCGTAGCCCACCAAAGCCCACAAGAATCTGTTTATATAATTTTTTTACTATAAATTTTATTTAACTCAAAATTTAACTCAAATTCAATATTTTATATATTATTAATATAATCAAATAAAATTATTCAATCATTCTTACACATTACATCTACTTTAATTCACTATTCATCCATTATTATTATTTTAATTTATAACCACTTAATATCATCTCTCTCATACTTTTACATCAAATCAACTTTAATTATTTTATTTTAAATATTATTTTAATATAAATAAAAAATTCCACTAATAACTAATCATATCATATTTTTCTAAATTATCTCTAGTTAACCAAAAAGTTCTACTTTGAGGGACAATTTTTGTATACAGACATGCTATGAATATTTACATAAACATGTTCCAAGCAAATTACTCAATTATAAATTCACAAATTTAGCACTAATTTCACAAACAATTCACAAATTCAGCAATATGTCCACAACCAACCCAACATCAATCCCTAACACACCATCGAGAAAAATAACACATATCGATTATGGTGTTGTCGATCTTCAACTGGAAAACGAGCGAATGTGTTATTAAATTGCACGCAACATGTATAGTATTAAATTGCAAAAGTCATTATATGGCTTAAAGCAGCGGGATTGGATCACCAACAAAGATGCAAAACTACCTGGGTAGAATGTGGTACAACCGACTGGGTGAATTTTTGTTGAAAAATAATTATGTTAATAATGATGTGTGTCCATGTGTATTTATAAAGTTTATTTATAAAGAAGTCAATGAATGGTTTTTGCATCATTTAAGTCTATGTTGATGACATAAATATAATTGGCACACGAGAGGATCTTGATAAAGCTAGCTCATGCCTAAAAATGGAGTTTGAAATAAAATATTTGGGTAAAACCAAATATTGTCTCGGCCTGCAGATCCAGCATCTCCTTGAATGATTTTTTGTACATCAGTCAGCCTACTTGGAGAAGATTTTAGAAAAATTCTACATGGATAAATCTCATCCACTTAGCACACCAATAGTTGTCTGATCCCTTGAAGTGGATAAGGATCCATTTAGACCTAAAGAAGATACCGAAGAAATTTTAGGACCAGAAGTTCCTTACTTGAGCGCCATTGGCGCGTTACTTTATCTTGCAAATTGCACCAGGCCTGATATTGCATTTGCAGTAAACTTGCTAGCAAGGTTTAATGCTTCTCCTACGAGGAGACACTGGAATGGTATTATACATATATTTAGGTATCTTCAAGGTTCAAAAGATCTTGGTTTACTTTATAAAAATAATTAAGATATGATATTGGTGGGACATTCAAATGCTGCCTATATGTCTGATCCCCATAATGCAAGATCTCAGACTGTTTATGTTTTTCTCTATGGTGGTACTGGAATCTCTTAGAAGTCAGTCAAGCAGTCCATGGTTACTACATCTTAAAACCACTCAGATATAATTGATTTATACGAGACTTCAAGAGAATGTGTATGGTTAAGATCTTTAATCCAACATATCCGTGGGTCATGTGGAGTTATAAATGATATAACCCCCACTGTCCTTTATGAGGACAATGCAGCATGTGTTTTGCAAATGATGAGTGGGTATGTCAAATGAAACATGACAAAACACATTGCTCCAAAATTCTTTGACCCACACGAGCTCCAGAAGAGCGGTGAGATTATTGTACAAAAAGTATGATCTAGCGAAAATTTGGCAGATCTATTTTTTTCCCACTGGGTTTTCTTGACAAGGTTTTAACGAGGCAGCACGTGGATACTCAACTCAAGATGATCTATTTGAGGGGGAGCAATATTATGCTTCCACAATGCTCATGTTTTTCCCACCGGGTTTTCCTGAGGGAGAAATGTGATTACATAATAATCAGATTTTATCCTACTGGGTTTTCCTGACATGCTGAAGCAGCATTATATGATGGCAACAAGATGTACTTCAAGATGTTAAATTGGGCCTTGTTCAAATCAGTTAAAATATGTCTGAAAATAGTCATTCAATGGAGAGTATTATAAAATATTTTATTCATTAAGATTAGTCATGAATTATTGATAGTGGTTATGAATTATTGATAGTAGTTATGAAATATTGATATTTGTTGATAGAAAATAATAAAATAATATATGTGAATGACTATTTTGCCCTTGATGTAATTGTATTATTACGATTGTGGCATCATAAATTTTCCTATAAATAGGAGCTTCATTTCTAATGAAGATACACCAAGATAATATCTTCTCTCTATTCTCTCTATTTATGTCTTGAGTTTTATAACAATAACCACCTTACAAAAGAGTAACAAAGTCAACATAATTAGTGGTCCACATAACATTTCAAGATGGTCAATACATATAATCTCATATGAATGTGTAGCATATTGGATCACACAATTTGATTGCAGCATAAAGTCACTACTACTGGACTATCCCAGCCCTTTACTCTACTCTAGAATAGAGTTAGCCAAAAACCTAGTTTCATCTCCAGCCATTCACACTATATTTTACTCTACATTAATAAATTAATTTTATCCATTTTTTTCACATAAACTTTAATATATATTTTTAATTAATCTTAAATAACTTTTTACCCAAATAATAAAAATTAATTTCATTCATTTTTTTACCCAAAAAACATTACATATAAACAAAACAAAAAAAAAAGTAGAGATATGTGGAGATACACTGCTCATAGTCATATATTTGTTATAGAGTAGAGGTATAGTGCAGCACTGGGGCACTTATTTTGCTCCACCTCAGCGTAAATCAATGAAATAGCGCAACACTGGGCTCGCTCTTACGAAAATTAGAGGAAAGCCAATGAAACATAAAGGAATGAAGAGAGATGTGCAACTGTGTTTGTATATGAAAAAAAATTCAATTCATACTCAAAATCTTATTCAAATTCAAGTTTCTAACTCAACTCTACTATTAATATTATCAGTATAATTAAATAATAATTACTAATCATTCTTATATATCACATCTATTTTAATTTACCATTCATCTTCGCACATAGTTTTAACTACCCATCACTTTACACAATCTCTCTCCTAATTTTACATAAAAAAATTATTTATTTTCTTTTAAATAATATTGTAATATAAAATCAAAATCTCACTAACAATTAATCATCTCACTCTTTTAATAATTAACTTTGGTTAATAAAAAAAAACTCATTTTGAGCAAATTTATTGATATACCTCTGAATTTCTAGAAAAAAAAAAAAAATCATTTGAGCGAATTTATTTATATACAAACAAGCTCTCCTAGAAGTCACCATTGGTTTGAAGTATGACCACAAGACACAATAATACTCATACTTTTTTTTTTCGAAACGATAGAAATATTATAACAAAAAACACATAAATACATCCAGAAACAGCTCATAAGCCGAAAGGACAGCTCAAAAGCTGAATCTAGTGGGAGGACAAATCCAAAGGATTGCCTAGAGACTACACTATAACAAACACACCCACAAACAGAGAAAAACAAGCACCATAACAGGATAAAGAACTCCCCGACGGGAGAAAGAGCTCACCTGCGGGAGAAAGAACTCCCCTACGGGAGAAAGGCTCCCCTGCGGGAGAAAGGGCTCCCCTACGGGAGAAAGGGTTCCCCTACGGGAGAAAGGACACGAAGGAAACTAAACCAAATACACTAAATAGACTAAAAACACTAACAACAACACAAACTAAAAACTAACAAATAAGAACTACAAACAAAACAGCCCTCCCCTCAGCGACGAAACAACTCCAATCTTCGCAGCGGCAACACAAAGGACCTCCATCCAATCGGACAGAGCCACGACCCCGGCATCGGACTCAGAAACTGCAATAAACACCTAACCAAGACCAAAACCAACAGCCCCGACCCATATCCGGACAAACATCCAAGCCCTAGCCCGGAGAACCACACCACAACCACCCACCACCAAAACCAACGACAGGGCCCAAACCAAAACAGCCCGGACCCCGGTCTGGCCTTGCCGACCACCCCTCCAACCAACATCAGGAAGAATAGCCCGGTGAAAAGTAGCGGACCCTCCGTACCCGAATTTCCCCAAAAAGGGAGAGAGACGGGACCACCACCCAACACCGAAGGACCACCGGAGGCACGCCACAGCGGAAAGCACCAGGAACTCGGCAGCCCGCACCCCATCCTAGCACCTGCACCAACGGAGAAACCTATTCAGGGGACGGATCCTCCTTCACCAGTGGGGAACAGCTCCTCCTTCCGGCAGTCCTCCCGACATTGGGCCGCAGAACCAGGGCCGCTGCCGCTGAGAAAATCAAAGAGCCCCGCTGGGGGAGGCGATGAATTAGACGGCCGAAGGGTAGGAAGGAAAGGGGATCTGGGATTTTCAAATTTTCAAATTAGACGGCCAATTAATTGAGAAGCTAATTCTGTACGGTACAATCAGTTAATGTATCTGTACACAAATCCACAATAATACTCATACAAACACAGAAAATGCATTGAAATTTGGTGCTTTAAGAAATTCCTTCACGAGAGCTTACGTTGACATTTATTTAAAATATAACAAGTCCAAGCAATAACAGTAACACAGTGATAACACCACATGAGATGATAGATAGCTATAAGTTCTGTAAGTACCAGAAAATCACAATTTAGTGAGTGAGATTACACAACACTTTGGCCCAGATAAAAACACTGACAAACTAAACAAACATAACATAATCAATAGATAGATAGATAGATAGATAGATAAACAGTATAACAATACGATTACATGTGATTAAAAAAAAAACAAAATAATAATCATGTATCCCTCAAATCATAAAACTTTCTCAAACATCGGTCTCTGTCTCCTCGTACTGCTTCAGGATCTCGCCACAGGTGTCCAATGGGGTCCACCTGTCGAACCCAATGGCATTCGCAAACCTGGCATTGGAGCTCATACCATTGTTGCGGGTGAGGATGACACGGGCCTGGTCACGGCCCAGGCTGGGTTTGACACATTCCGAATCGACACTCTTAACAGCCATGACATTGCAAACATCATCGCCACGGTCACCATCAATGAGGACTTCATAGGTGCCGTCGGATTTGGTCACAAACTCCTTTCTATAGGTCACGTGAGTAGAGTCCGACCTCTTTGCGCACTCAATTTTACCAACAGCACCTGGAACCAAGTAAGGTTATTTAGACGATAACGCAAATGAGAAAAGTGTTAACCTTGAATGAGAAAAGTGTTAACCTTGAGGTGGATAATAACACATGTTTTGATTTGACGATACTAATGATTAAAATGTCGTACAATACTGGCCAATAATATCGATAAAATAGTATATGTTACCCGGCTATTGGTATAGTTTAAAAACACATAAATAAAGGACTTACAATAATGTCTGGTTGTGAATACAAAAAAATTCGGTGCAAAATAGCAGTCATTAACAAAAAAAGTTAAAAATAATTGACTTAAAAAGTTAGTACATGAAATTGGTAATTGCATTTCTACTTAACTGATAAAATGCATTGAATGTAGTAAATTAATATTTTTATTTTTTATATTTAATGTAAAAAATTATACATACAAGTATTTTTGCTAACCCCGAAAACCACTGAAGTCGTTCGGAATTTCGAGAGACATTTTGAGACTTTGAGATTTAAGACTTTTGAGACATTCAAACTTTGGAGGAATCATGTGAAATCTCAAAGTCTGAAGGTGGAATTTTGAGTGGGCTTCGCATAAGAGTTTTTCTTGTCTCAAATAAGTTAACTACTTCGAATTTTTGTAAAGTTTTTCGAAATCCAAAATGAATACACCCCCTACATTTAATACTAAACAGTTTTTTGATAGGCTCATTTTAAAAACTATAGTATTATAAATATTTTATTTGATAATTGTTTCTTGGTGACAAAGTTGGTGGTGAAATTGTTTCAAGAAACCCAATCTATCTCTAGACTTGATCATAGTTACTTGATGTAATTCAACATTTATCAACAACTGCTTGACTAAGAATTGATACAAATAACTGATAACCATTATTAAATGGGGCAGATGCTTGCTTGACTAAGAACTGATACAAATAACTGATAACCATTATTAAATGGGGGAGATGCTACAATCCCGTTACAGAATCATTCTGTTAGGGTTTATAACCGTTAGATCAACTATCTCCTCTGACGGTTAACGGCTACAAACCACGACAGAATGGTTCAATAACGGGACATAACATTTCCCATTAAATGGTTCAGCTATACAAATAGAATTAAACCAACAGGCTCAGCACACACAAGAACAACATACTACTGCTAGCTACTAAACAGTGCAACCAAATCCATTAACAGAATTCAGATCCACAGCAGGCCAGCACCTAAACAGTTCCTAAAACTATGTTTTCTCAACTAACAACTCAATAGATCTCCAGATCGACAACAAAAACTCCAGATCTACATAAACAAATGAGCAATAGAGATGAAATCGATGCAGATCTAAAAGAAAAAAAAATACCGCTGTGTACAACCAAAAGTACAACTCAATAAAGCATACGAGTGTGTGTAAGTGTGTGAGGGAGAAAGGGTTTACCGGCGAGAGCTTTGGAGGCTTTGGTCTCGTAGCCACAGAGGCAGGTGTCGCAGTAAAAATATCCCTTCAGCAGCAACGGGTCGGCGCTAACAATGGCGGGTACCACGCATAGAGCCAACAGTACAACCAGTAATTTCTCCATCTCTTCTTCTTCTTCTTTGTTTGCTATAACCCGAGTTCTGTCACAATGTGCCTCCTAGAATGAGAAAGGCGAGATTTATAAGTAATAGAGTGAGAGGGTTTGATGAATGAGTAGTGTGATTTATGGTGTGTGTGGGCTGGCACACGGAAAGGGCTCACATGAGAATTTCGAAAAATCGGAGGGGCAAAAGAAAAAAAAAAATAAAAAAAAAAAGTAAAAAGAAAAGAGCGCGTGTTGCGGCAATCAATCAGTGTAATTGACAACTTGCAATCTTCTGCCCTACATTTTTTTAAGTTTGATTTCGGTGGGGTGGGGCCCTCACCTGCATCATTTTTACAGATTACGCGGAGAGGAAATACGGGTAGGATTTTGCGTAACTTCCAGATCAGGCTTTAATCATGTTCACAATCCTCCGCATAAAACCTGATTACGATTAATAAGTCAACGAAGAGTTATAGAAAGCTTATACATATAATTGTCTTTTCTATACATATAATTGTACATTTTTAATAGGGCATTACTAATTACCGCCCCCTTATTACTAGTCACCGTCCCCCTTGGACGATTTTGCCCTTTTCATTTTTTGTCTCCGCAACATGTCCACAAGCTCAGAGGTAAAAAAAAAAATTTGTCCGGCCAGCTTTACCTCACGGGACCGGCGGTATCCGGCCGACCGGACCGGACAGTCACAAAGGCGTCCGGCCGGTTCGACCGGACAGCCCCGGTCGCGTGCGA